GATTGGCTCATTAAGGGTGCATTCACACCAGCCCTGTTTAGTCCGCTTTAATCGAACTCTAGCTCGTTTTCCTAGAAAGTCCGGCTCGTTTAGGAAGGTGTGAACGCACCATCGAACTCTGTCACGGAACAAAAAGGCGAACTCTGGCCCGGGCTATAACCGAGGTCTCGGAGAAGAGAACTCCAGCGCGGTTCGAGTACAGTGTGAATGTAAACAGACCGAGCCCCGCTCCGCAGGGTAAACAAACACGCATTTCTCTGACCTTATATGGAGCCGTCAGCTGCCTTGTGTGGAAAACAATATTCTCCATGGTCTTCTGTCTCATCTTCTGCTCATGCTAAGTCCATTTTTGAAAAAATAACAAAATTTAACTCCTAAAACTGCTAAAACTTGATGCCACTTCGTTTTTATTTTTATTTACAGAAGAAGAAGAAGACGTGCCTTCAGAGGTTTTTGTGTCGTTTCTTTCAGTAGTTCTTGGTGCAGCGCCCCCACAGGCGAGCGGGGGAATAGGTTGGTTCAACAGGTTGACTCGACTGCACAGTGCAGTGTGAATGCAAACTCACCAGCTCAAATGTAAACAAAAGGTCATGAATATTTGTCCCCAATCGAACTGAGTCTACCAGACTATCTGGTGTGAAAACGACCTAAGTGAGTGACGCTATTACTGTAACACCTGAAGTAGGGTGAACCTCCAAAACGCACCTCCTGCTTCTCTGCTCGTCTCTGCATCGAAGCTGTCTATCGCTGGAAAAATGCTCCATGAAAATGTATCTATTTTCGTGAATTTATCAGGGGCCGGACAGAACCATCACTAGGTCCGGAGCCGGACTCAGGTCCGCCTATTAGTGACCTAGACGCTATAGGTTTGTCACCTTTTCCATCCCCTGTGAGTTTGCAGCTATGACCGTGCCTGATAATTAAGTTCTTAGAACTGAAAGCCACACCGTGACTCCTCCAAACTTGTCACTGTGTCCAAACAGCTCAGTCTTTTACTCGTCTGACCATCACACTTTTCTCCTGAAGACATTGATCTTGTCCATGTGGAGAGCTGCAGTCCAGCTTGGAGGTTTCTCAGCGTCTTTCTTGGTCCGGTCTAAGTCAGTGTTTTAAAAGAACTGACGTCACTTTGGACAAGGACACTGGCGTCCAGTCCCCCATTAGTGACATTCAGTGATTGTATGTGAACTTTTGACTACAACGTTGTTCCCAAAAATGATTTAACTATCGCAGTAAGATTGTTAAATCGGCAGTTAAGCCAAGTTGTGGTAAATTCAGACATATCTGGTGTTTACAGCTACAGAGCTTTGTTAGGTTTCTAAAGCATTGCATTTTACAATGTGCCCCCCCATAAAGCTTACAGTTGTTTGATGTGATGTATTGTTGGACACGCTGCAGACAAAGATTTAAGCTGAAAAGTAGACGAGCTGACCTAAACAATGTCTTTATGACCAAAATAAACCCAAACAACACAGTTGGGGAGAAAAGTTGCTCACCAGCAAGTTTAACTTCTGTCTACCAAATATTTAACATGTTTTAAATTTAGAGTTAAAAATCTTCTGGCTTCAAGCAAGAACTTAATGAAAAACAATTCTAGAGATATTGCATTTCCTGTGAAAATTCAGTGTGAAAGCTAAGAACTTGCAACAACAAAAAAAACATACTGAAACGTAGCTGAAAATGTAGAACTAAATCAGCAGGAGAAAGAAGAAAGAACACAAAAGTTGAAATGAGTGCAAAACGTGGAATTAGCTGAAAAAGCTAAAACTAGCATTCAAACAGATATGTATAAATAAATATTTATTTGTATATAGCTACTATAAATAGTAGCTGAAATAACTGAAACTAGCAGACATAAGCTGAAAGGAGCATAACAAGTTGAAATTAGCAGAAACAATTTGGTTAGGCTGAAAGTAGCAGAAATTATCATGAAAAACTTGAATTCATCCGAAAACCGCTGAAATTAGCTAAAATATGCTAAAAATGTAGCTGGAAAGACAGAACAAGCTTAAATTAGCAGAAAGAAGCAGAAACAACATGTTTCCTCAATTAGGCTGAAAGAAGCAGAAATGACCACAAAATAGTGGAAATTACCTGAAAAAAGCAGAAATTAGCATAAAACTGCTGAAAAATAGCTAAAAATTGCAGAAAGAAGCTGAAATTACTAGAAGGAAGTGGAGAGAGCACATTTTTATTGAATTAGGCTGAAAAAAGTTTTAATTAGTGCAAAAAAAGTAGAATTAGCTGAAAAAGCTAAATTTAGCATAAAATCAGCTAAATAGTAGCTGAAATATCAGAAAAAGCTGAAACACAGAAATAAGCTCAAAGAAGCATAATAAGCTGAAATTAGCAGAAAGAAATTAGAAGAAGCACAAAAATGTTGTAGTTAGCAGAAAGAAACTGAAAGTAGCACAAAACAGATTAAATAAAACAGCTGAAATTAGCTGAAAGTAGCTGAAAAAAGTTTATTCACAAGGAAGCTGAAAGAAGCTGAACCAGCACAAAATGTGAAAGAAGCAATAAAAGGTTGTGAACACATCTAAAGATTTGAACAATGTAAACTGAGCTCAATTCATTTTCTATGAGAGAAAAAAATGGCAGAAAAGGCTAAATATTTCAAAAAGCTAAAGTTTTACCAATACCAAAAGTCGTAGCAGGATTGCACTGAAAGAGCTGATTGTTTTAATATAGGATTTGTTGAACCAGCGCAAAAATTGTGTAACAAGAAAGATGCTGAAAAATGTACGGAAGAAAAATGGATCACAATAGTGTGAATGCTTCGTAAACATTCACACAATAAATTTAAGCATGATGCAGCAAATGGGATTACAGTATATGAGACTGTCAAAACTCTTGTTTTAACTTTAAGTGATGAATAAAACCGTCCATGTGGAAGATGCAATTTCTTTTAAATGAACTGGGAAGTTAGCCGATTGATCCAACCACAACACTGTTTGTTATATTTGAATCCCATCAGAGTTATGTCTGTGCATGCTTGCAAGTGGTTTTTCCATTTTTAGAGCTCCATCCAAGATGGTGATACAGCCCGGCAGTCAAATCCTGATCTGGTTATCTGAAGTGTGTCGTGTTTCTAAGGTTCTGATTCTGATTAGTTCTGTTGCAGGGGGTCTGCGACCTTTACGATCAAAAGAGCCATTTTTATGCCTTCGTTCTCTAAATTAAGTGTCCATAGCCGCAACAACCTGCTACAGCTGTGATTATCAACTGGTGGCCCATGGGCCACTTTAGGTTTGTTGGAGGGGGCTTTTGTGGTCACATTATAAAGCTAAAAACATCCAATGATTTTTAACATTTATTGATATTTTTAGGAATGCATGATATTGGATTTTTGGCCGATATGTTAAAATGTATTTGGCCGATAACTGATACTGATATTTTTAATATATTTTCCTTTGTCAGAACATATTCCTCTTATTTAGGCTTATTTGCTACAAAAATTGTGTAAAAGCTGGTGACATATATTCAGTAACAGCCATATGATATGCATAGCACTTAACTTCTATTAAATGAAGTGTTAAATATTATTTATTAGCATTAGTCACCTGCGATGCTGTCTCACTTGTGGAGGCTTGTTCTTGGTTCCTAGCTGCAGTGTGGGATCCTCTGCACTCTTGTGCATGAAGGACAGACGTTTTAAGTTCAAAGTTTTTGGCGATACATTGTGCCATAAGACCAATCATGCTAACGGGGCTAACACGACGTCCAAATGTCTGTGGTAAAACTCACCCAAGTGCTATCTGCTATTAGCCTCTCAATGACGTCGGAAATGACTGCTTGTTAATCGGGTAACGTTACGTCAGAAACGACGGTTTGTAACTCTGGTAATGTTACGTCGGAAATGACGGTTTGTAACTGGTAACGTTACATCGGAAATGACAGTTTGTAACTCGGGTAACGTTACGTCGGAAATGACGGTTTGTAACTC